GGAAGGAAGGAAGGAAGGAAGGAAGGAAGGAAGGAAGGAAGGAAGGAAGGAAGGAAGGAAGATTATGATATCTCTTCAACAAACTTTTTTTCAGTCTGAGTATATTAACATGAGTGTGGGGGACTGCCAAGGGGGGGGGCTGCCAAGGGGGCAAATGATGTCAAACTCTGCAATTTAAATCACTGTTATCATTTCCTCATGAATATTAACACTAGCATTCTATTTTTCAGAAATAGTTTCTAAGTACTAATTGTGAAATGATTAGATTTTAAAATGATCCTTTTTTTCTGAGTGGAGTGATTTTTTCCTCTCTTAAACAATCCTGTTCGCCCGTAAAGATTTTTTTGTTTTTCATTCAAGGACAACCGACTAGAAAGCCTTTGATCCCTCGCGAAGTTAAAACGAATTGCTGGTCCGACGACACGCGGCATCTGATATGCGGAATCGTGAATTAAAAAAATATATATTCTGGGTTGTTCTCGGGCGTTCGCCCTGCTCCTCCCTCTCTGCCCCTCTCTGTGGGTTTTCTTTCTGAAGGTGGAGCATCTTTGCTGTTGGGCATCTTGAAATACACTTGTGAAAAAGCGAAAACGCGCTGCCGGCGAAAAACGTCAATTATGGAGCTGGTTCTCCGGCGGGTCTGGAATGCAAGGCCCGGGTCGGGGAGAGGAAACCCCTGAAGCCGGCAGCGACCCGATGAAACCCGGTTAGTTGCTGTAGCCAGGGATGCCCTTAAAAACGCGAGGCGAGCCTCCCGTCAATCCTCCTCTCCCGCTCTCCGCCTCTCGGCCGCCCCCCGCCCGGGCCAAGCGACAGCGAGTTTGTCAGAAGGAATGCGCTGAAGGAAATTGCGCTGATTAAATTTCCCCTCGGAGGAGATCGTGGCAGGGAGGGAGGGGCGGCCGCGTGGGTCTGACTAATCCAGAAAGTCTGCCGGAGGTTTCCCCGGGGGGCAGCGCGACTTGGGGGCAAGGGTGAGCGGGAACCGGGCTGGCCGGCAGGGACACAGTTAACGCTCTGACTCCACCCCAGCAATTCGGAAGGGTTTACATTGAACCTGGTTTCCTAGCCATGGCAGGCGTTCAGCTCCGGCAAAAGGCAGCCCAGCGGATAGCGGAGGAGGCGAAGTGGCCTCCTGCCCTTCGCGGGGGCACCCTTGGCCCAGCGGGCCGCTCCAAGCCGGGGGCTCCTTGCGCCCTGCATGCAGCAGGTGAGCAGCGGAGGAGCCGCCCCAGCTGAGA